GCGCCCGAAATTTCAAAAACTTAAAATAATCTTTCAAAGCAGTTTTCACCATCTGCACAACAGATGGCACACCTATGGCACCCATATTAGACTGACCATGCAACGATTATATATAAACATTCGCTAGGCTAAAGACCGCGGTAAACATGTAGATCAATTGCATGGCATAACTGCGTGCATTAATTAATAATACTAATTGCCACTAATAATCATCAACTGAGAGTTACCTTTGGAAAATTCCATCTTGCATGTTGATATCGTTGCACTGCTATAAACATTTCTCCGTACTGCGGTCGACCAGCGTTGGCCACCCAGCCAGGTGTGTGAATACAAGTCTTTACCTTGTTCCACTTATACTTTCTCATTCACTGCAGGAAATTATACCAGAGCTCAGACCGAACGCGCGTAGCCACCAACTTCACGCAAGTCGCATAATACAAAATCGAATTGAATTTTATTGCCGCATGATGTATATTCATATAAATTATAATCTGGGTTAATGTGATTGCCGTACGTAATCAATGTGTTATAATGGTAATGAAATAAATCTGTGCATTTAATTAATATATAATAATAGCTTGGTTATAGTTAGATTTTATAATCACGTATTATAATTATGAATACATATTCCCAATTTAAATTAATGATGCATTAATTTATATTCAATTAGTGCGTCATGTATGTGCATCCTTGAATATATAACTAGCACTCAGATATCAGTGCCGTCCGTCTGATTGTGAGCTCTATAATTATTAATTAATTAATCGTACCATGCGCAGTAATTTTGCGCTACCTATGAAAGACTTTATTAGCAGTGCGCGATCACTAACTTAAAACAACACACATATTGAGAACTACGAAGTTGCTAGGAAATATAATGATAATTGCACAAATATCAAAGTGGAACATTTAGTATTTTAAATTGACTTACGTCACGAATTTTCCATGTAATAATTTTGTTTAAAAAAAAAATTGCCCATTTTGTTACATTATAAAGTAAGAATAACGTTACTAAATATATCCTCAAACTCTCACCTGGAAACTTCGCCTGGAATGTTTGTTACTGTTTGCGTTTAAATTTTGCAAAAATCTAGACGATTTGCGTAATTTCTGTTGTCTTAAACACATATTTCCCCCAGCTTACTGTTTCAGATTACTGCGCGTCTCTCGTGTTTTTCACGAGCAAATGTAGGCGAATATAACAAAAGGTATATAAGCATGAAAAGCTAAACAGAAACCACTAATTGTTATTTTAATATCCATTTTATTTTTGGTGACAAATAACACACAAAAATATACTACTTGATGGTGCCTAGAATATTCTATGACGTTAATCACTTTAAATGATGCAAGCTTAGATCGGCCCTGCCTAAGAGTTTCTGGGTGAGGGCAGAATAGCTATTGGATTTTTATGGAGCGTACTGACTTTCGGCACACTACTGCCCTAGCTCTAGGACCAGACCCTGGACCTTCAACAATCATGCTGACCTTACCTTGCGAAGAACAACAGTGCATTTCCGATTGGCTGAACTCGAGCGAACTGTCCCCAGAACCTTGTTTTGGAACCGTATGTCCGCGCAAAGTAGATGAAATTCTTCGAAGTCAGCGTGGCACGCCGCTATATCGCGGAGGATGATGACTCACCTGCGCGAGTGAAAAACACATGCAACCCACCAGTGCACTCTACTTACTTGTTACGGACGCTTAGACAGGATTTATACACGCTTATTCTATTTAAGCCAGATTTGCCTTACCAACTTTGCCCCTGCTTAACCCTGCATACATACGACTTCCCTCTCACATTCCTTGCCTTCCCACCCCAGCCACACACATACAGTGTTACACGCTCTCTTCCACCCAACCTAGTGCCTCCAACCAGCCCACATACATACTTCAGTGTTACACACTCTTCATCCCACCTTGCCCCCCTACCCCAGCCACATTACATACTGTGTTTACACGCTCTCGTCAACCCAACTTTGCCCCCACCCAAGCCACATACATACAGTGCTTACACAGCTCTCTCAGCCCAACCTTGACCCCGCCCACCCCTAGCCACATACATAACAGTGTTGACACGCTCTCTCACCCAACCTTGCCCCCCAACCCCAGCCACGATACAATACAGTGTTACGATTGCTCTCTCACCCAAACTTCGCCCCCCCCACCCAGCCACACTACATTACAGTGTTACATGGCCTCTCTCACCCAAACCGTTGCCCCCACCCCAGCCATACATCACTATGTGTTTACATGCTCTCTCACCCAAACCTTGCCCCCAAACCCATGCCACATACTACAGTGCTTACATGCTCTCATCACCCACCTTGCCCCCCACCCCAGGCCACATACATACAGCGTGTTACATGCCTCTCTCACCCAACTTTTGCCCCCCACCCCAGCCACATACATACAGTGTTATCATTAGCCTCTCTCACCAACCTTGCCCCAACCAGCCACATAACATACATACAGTGTTACACGCTCTCTCACCCAACCTTGCCCCCCACCCCAGCCACATACATACAGTGTTACATGCTCTCTCACCCAACCTTGCCTCCCACCCCCTACATGCATGCCCTCTCACCTGGCCTTACTTCCTGCCCCATCCCAGTACATACACGCCTTCCCACCCAACCTTGTCTCCTGCTCACATACATAGGTGGTGCTCTCTCACCCAACCTTGCCTCCTGCCCCTGTACATAGGTGGCGCCCTCTCACCCACCTGTTCGGCGATGTAGCGGAATCCGCGATCCTCCCTCAGGCATTCGTAAGTCTCTCCCAGCAGCGGGTTGAACGGCTTTGAGCCGGCGCGGTAGTAGGTCGCCGCGTAGCCCGACACGGCAAATGCTGCCACGAGCACCTGTAACAATGAGGGCAGCAGACCGAAAATTACAAACACTAGCAATAAAATCGTGTAATTTAATAACTTAAAGCATAATTCACTCACCTTTTCAGCATCGCACATTCTATGGGACTATAGTGTGCTCTATTTATAGGGAATAACACGCAAGGTTAGTAAGATGATGGATTGAACACGGCACAACATGGCTACAATGTGGCCTGGCGATATGCCTCAATGCCGGCGCCACCTGGTGGTGATCTACCATGCGGTCTATGTGGCGCCACCTGGCGGCGACCTACCATGCGGTCGTAGGGGTCGGGGGTCTGCACGGCGCCACCCGGCGGTGACCTACCGTGCAACGCCACATAGCGGCAACCTACCATGCGTTGTAGCTCGTACTATAAACATGATGTCTTACTTTCAAGTATTTATTATAAACATGATGTCTTACTTTCAAGTATTTATTATAACAGAATGTCTTACCTTCAAGTTCTTATTATAAACAGAATGTCTTACAATCAAGTTCTTATTATAAACAGGATGTCTTACCTTCAAGTTCTTATTATAAAGAGGATATCTTACCTTCAAGTTCTTATTATTACAGAATGTCTTACAATCAAGTTCTTATTATAACAGGATGACTCTTACCTTCAAGTTCTTATTATAAACGAGATGTCTCTTACCTTCAAGTTCTTATTATAAACAGGATATCTTACCTTCAAGTTCTTATTATAAAACAGGATATCTTTACCTTCAAGTTCTTATTATAAACAGGATGTCTTACCTTCAAGTTCTTATTATAAACAGGATATATTACCCTTCAAGTTTCTTATTATAAACAGGATGTCTTACCTTCAAGTTCTTATTATAAACAGGATATCTTACCTTCACGCTTCACTTATAAACGGGATATCTTAGTTGTACGCTAGTTGTAAGTTGTAATCCACCCTCACGTCATCATCCCTGGTGTTGTCGCCATTGTCGGCGGTGAAATAACATTGTCGTTATCTTCGTCGGCATTGTCGTCGTGTGCAGCGGTTAGCGTTCAATGGGTGTCTTAAAAAAAATTCTGAAGAATTTTTTTTTAATTAACATTTTTTTATTCTTGCTACAATTTTTTAAAATAGTGAATTGCCACAAATGATCTCAAACTATGGTATGCTTGTTATATATTCTTGTATAGAGTGTTTTTATCTTAAAGTTTTAATGTTACAATCTCATCAGGAAATGTCACCAAAATGTGTTTTAGATTGCACAGAATCCATAGCTTCGTGGGGGGAGAGGGTGCTTCCAATTATTTACCGCGTCCAATTTTTTTTGTTAACACCCATGCAGCTGCAGCAGTGAGCTGTGCCATCTGTTGCCTGCAGGGTCGAGTCTGGCAGTACACAACGAAGCGCCGACTCCAAGAGAACAGCAGAGAGCCTTTCAGAAGCGCTGGAGATCGAGGAAGAAGGAAAGAGACAGAAGGCACGAGGCGACACCAACTCTAAAAGCAGCTCCGAAATACCTCGGTTTGAGGTAGCGCGGAAGCCCGTCTTCGTGGCCTGCGTGTAGACGCGCTGCTACTCCTCTACCAGACAAAATCTGCGCGTGCGTGTTTGTTCCTTGAGAATATCTTGGCCTTTACATAAAATCGTTTGCTACCAAGCGTGGGACCGGTGACATAATTCGTCACGGAACCGGCGGTTGACATAATTCATTGTGTTACCGTCGGGGCTGACAGTAATTGTCGCGTGGATGCGCCGCGGCTTCTCGGGGCCGATTATGTCGGTGCACATAATTCGTCACGGAATGTCAGGTGACATAATCTGTCTACGGGAACCGTCGGTGACATACATCATTGCAAGGAACATCTTTCGTGACAATGGGTTGTTGCGGAAAGGTTGGTGACATAAGGCCCCCGTAAAACAGTTCGGCTAACTATTTTGCGTACTGTCCGGCCAGTGCCGTGATCGTCGGCGAAACGTCAGTGACGAAAACCTCGCGGAACATCGGTGACAAATGCTGCAGTACGTTGGAGACAATTTTTCCGCGGGAATGTCTGGGTGACAATCATGCGCTGTAGCTGTCGCGGTGACATAATCATCGCGGTACCGTCCGGTGTGACATAAATCGTTGCCGGTACCCGTCCTGTGGACATAATGCGTCGCGGTACGTCGGTGACATAAATCATCGCGGTCGTAGGTGACATGAATCGTCGCTTGGTACCGTCGGTGACCATAATCGCCGCCGTACCGTCGGTGACATTAGATCACGCGCGCGTTAGCCGTCCCGGTGAACATAATCGTCCCGGTACCGCGTCGGTGACATATCGTCCGCCCGCTTCGGCACTGGTACCGTCAGGGGTGACATAATCGTCGCATATCGGTACCGTCGAGGTGACATAATCGTCGCAAACGGACTGGGGTAACCGTCGGGGTGACCAGTAATCGTCTGCGGGTGAGGTCCCGTCGGTGACATAATCGTCGCAACGCGCCTCCCCGGTACGCGTCGGCGCGCCTTGCAGCGCATAATCGTCCGCCCGCGCCGGCGCCCCCCTGGGGGAGTTAGGTTATAGGGGTCAAGGTTAAATTCTGGTTGAGCGTTCTGCGTTCCTTAGGCCGTTAAATGTTTATGTCGAAAGGCTTAAAGGGGTTAACTAGCCGGTGGCTGGCAGGCGCTGACATGAATCGCTCGGGCGTCAAAGCGGCGTTAAGGTAGTCGCTTAACGGGGGCGTGGAATTCCAGGATGTAGGTCGTCACTTCCCCGATGTTTTATCCGATACGTGCCATAATCGTGTCTGCAAGGCAAAAAGGCGGTTTGTCCGTGGAAATCGACTCCGGATCAGGCGGGTATTGCGTCGGGACCAACCCTTCGGGGTCCTGGCGCGCCTGTACTCGGTTTCAGGAGCGCCGTCCAGCGGAGCGGGATTGGAGCTTTGCGAGAGCAGAATACGTCCGCGTTTAAAGCGTACAACATCAAAAGACCGTACAACTAAACCCACCCGCATGCCTTAACTTGGGACCAGCCGGGCATTGTGGAAGTTGTGTGGGTACTCCGTGGTCGTTTACTGTCGGGGGGCCCACAAATGGTGTGGCGTACGGATTTAGTTCATTGGCCCCACCAGTTGCGTCGGGACCCAACTAAACAGATAGCAAACCCTTATACCACCGGATTGCCCGAGGTGGCTGCCCCCCAACTTTTCATTGAGTCCCCAAGAACAGAGTTCAACATGAACGCTTAACCCTCGTAAGGGGATTCCGAATTATGAAGGGAATCTGACATTACGGGATGTTTAACATGTAAGGTCTTTACCAGGCAAACATCGAGCTTTTCCCCCACATGCCATTTCAAGCTAGAAGCGGTATTGGGGCTTTATTGCCCCCCAATGGTTTTTTTTTAGGCATGGGCGGGATTTGTGTGGTGATACTTTTGGATACCACCGTGTGTTGGCATTGTTTTGTAAAGGACCATTGGGGCGTTTACAATAGAGTCGTTTTCGTGGCTTGGTTGATGAATCGCCCACTAATGTCACTGGGGCGGTGTTAGCCGTGTCGGGTGACATAATCGCCTCGAAAATGGAGGGGGCGCCCAGAACGGCGGACGGGGCAGAGGGGCACTTGGAAGGAAAGCAGGCACACGAGCGGGCACGGCGGAGGCCAGGCGCGGCCGCGCGTGGCAGGAGGGGACACACGCGGCGAGCGGGACGGCGCGTGGCCCGACCAGCCGCCCATCCAGAGCCGGAAGCACACAAACCAGAAAACAGGACCGAGCAGGGCCAACGCGGGCGTCCAGGCAACGCGAGAGGTCGAGCCCCCCCACCGCTTCACGGCCGCGAACCCGGCCCAGGCGGGCAGGCCGCCGGACCGAACGGACCCCGTGGACGTAAAGAGGCCGACCGGACCCCACGGCACAACAAGTCGAGGGAGGCCGACGCCCCTGACGCCCAAACCCAAAACAAGCAGCAGGACCAGGGGAGGCCCGCAGGACCGACACCGAGACCGAGGAAGGCGCATGAACACAAACGGAGCGGCCACAAGGACCTCCGGAGCAGGGGAGGTGAAGGGGGCACGTGGCGCAAAAGGTGGCGCGCAGGCAGCACGAAAGCGCAAGCGACGGCGAAGCCCGCGGGGAGAACCCCCAGGACACAAAAAGAAAAGCAAGGCGCAGAAGAAACGGGAGTGCAGCACCGCTCACACTGCACCCGTGCAAGAGGCACGCGACAGGTGACCACAGAAAACCGCCACGAGAACAGAAACGAGGGGCCACGACAACAACGCTCGCGGTGACCAATAGATGCGCATACATGAAGATAGCGGTCGGCACAAGACATGGAAGACTGAACGGTTGTGACGCAAGACTCATTGCCAGAAAGGGGATGCGGGGGGGCCCCGGGAGGCTCTGCCACTGTGCTGCAGGACGGAGGCAACCGGGTCCAGCCATCAATCCCAACTCGTCTGCGACGAACCACCGGCCGACGCCCCCGCGAGGGGGACGCGGCCGGGTGCCTCGACCGTCGCGGGGGCGCCCGCCGATAGCCGGTCAGAGCGAATAATGCGCTCCAACGCGAGGAAGGGGCGCACACGAGGCCGGAGCCGGCACACGGCACCGGAAGGCGGCACCGGGCAAAGTGCACGAGGAACGGACGAGCACAGGCAGCCGGACTGGAGTGACTCCCGCGGGAAGGCCCGCAGGCAAGCACGGTGCAGGCACGGGGGCCGCCTGCAACACAGGGACAGCCGGCGACGGAGTGAAAGAACGACGAGACGGAAGGGACGAGAGAGGCAGCGAGCGCCTCGGACGGGGGCTAGGGCGGGGCTGGCAGAGAGACGAGGTGAGACATGGGGAGCCGGGTATCATCTCGTAGCGCAGTTGACTAATGAAGGTCGCGCGTCTCCAGCACAGCAGCAGGGCACGAATCGTGGACGCACGTTGTGTCGTATGTGAGCATAATCATCGTGGAAGGCCAGACGCAACATCGCAACACAGGCGAGCGCGAACAGCACTCGCGCAGGTGTTGCAGGAGATCGAAAGCTGGCGGGTCCGCGACGGCAAGTTGGACGGGACAGCACCGGGGACTGGAGGCGAGAAGAAGAGCAGAGCTGACACAATCAACTCGCAGCCGGGGCGGCGCGAGAGCCGCGGGGGCGACGGGACTGGGCTGAAGGCACAGAAGGGACGGAGGTGCCAGCAGCGGTGTCAATCGGGGCCGAGCCAGATACCCGGACTGAAGTGGCACCGGCAAGAACACCCACGGTAGAAAAGGCGGGGCAGCGCGAGCACAGGCCGCCGGCACCCGCCGCCAAAGAGGAAGACGTACACGGAGAAAACAAACATGGCCGCGGGAGGTAAGAGCGCACGGAACACACACACAGGCGGGCCAAGGCGGCAGGAAGAGAGGAGAGAGAGGGGCCAAAGAGGGACCGGGAGGGTCTGACCCTCTACCCACCCACGAACAGAACAGGAGGTGACATAATCGTTGCTACCACGAACCGGCGCCGACGACATACGAGTGTGGGAAGCACAGAGGGCGAACGCTGGCGAAACACAGCGGAGTGCGCGCGAGGGAACGTGACAGGCAGCGCTGGGCAGGGACGGGGACAAGCACAAGTAATTGCCGCGCCGGACCCGAATAGAAAGCCAAGAGACCCTAAATGAGACGGAGTGAAAGCCCCAGGGAAAGGGACGAGGTGAGGGTGGGGGGAGTGAGGAG